ACACTGCTCAAGAAAGAGAGGAGGAAGAAGAAGGAAACTCTTTTTTTTGCCAAGTAATGCCTTTGTTTTCACAATCACATGGAGCAGAGGGCAGCTGCAGTGCCTGGGGTTTGGTGCCTTGCTCAAGGGTGCATCAGCTGTGCCTGTATTGTGACATTTTTTTTCCTTGTCAGGGAATCAAACCTGTCTCTCTAACCTCGAGGCCACTAGGGCTCCCTGGCTGTCATCTGGACACATTTTTATCAAATTCATACTGTGGAAAACAAAGCAGCGGAGGAGAGGAGCAGAGGAAGCTGCTGTTGTTAAAGGGCGGAAGAAGGATAAATGAGAAATGACTTGTGCACAGTGTTGTGACTGGCTGGATGGTTTCATAATACGGCAAAAAGTGCTGAGAGATGAAGACAGAACATCTGCTCGACACGTCTGAAGCCCAGTCTCCGGTGAAAAATAAAATCTGATGACAGTAGGAGTTCCTTATTTTGTTGTGTTCTTGCGCGGCGCGAAGCAAACTTCTGCACTGGCACTCAAGAACATTTCCATATTTGTTTTGGCCGACTTCTGTCAAATTGTCACATCCAGGATGAGGCAGTAATTGCTCTTGCTCCGCTGCAATCTGAATGTGTTCTACATGTCACATACGATTCGGAATACGCAGTACTATGATACTCTCTTCTGTACCAGTCTCTCACTTTCTGTGCTGTCATAATGTCAAACACGCGATATCAAGGAGTGAGGGTAAATGTGGATAACACGTTGATGACACAGTAAAAAAAAAAGGCAAATTACAGTACAACATACACTGTGTGATGCCCTTCATGAATGTAGCCTTTCGAGTGACAATCAAACAGCTTGTTTTGCAGATACTCAACACTTGAGTGAGGTTGCATGTTCACTTCGAGGTGTGATTCAAAACTGTTGTTGCAAGCGCACAACACAAAACTCCCACAGAAACCCTGCCAGATCTCGCAGCATGTCATTGTTTTTGACATATTGTCTCCACAACAGCGTTTTGTATCTTACATTTCAACACTTCTGTGATCTGCTGCCCCGCAACAACATTTTGTGAAGCTCTGCTATACATGGAAACGTTCCCCCGGCAGACTCTGGAATAATGTCTCCGCAGCTCGGTGTCATACCTGGCTACATCTGTCATTTGTTATCGTGTGGAGTAATGTTTTCGCATTGGCTGCATGGATGGTTTCCTGAATTCTGAATAACTTCTCCAGGCATACAGTTATTGACTTCCAAAGTGGTCCCCAGCCGCCCTGCAGTTTAATACTGTTTAAAAAAACATTTTTCATGCACTCCTCTTTGCTTTGGGTTGTTGGCACAGTGTTGTACTTGGAATATAGAGTTATGGGCTGTTGTTGTTGCAGTAACATGCAGCCAGATTGTGAGTAGAACAGAGTGGTAGCATTTCTTACATGACATCAGCATTGACCCCTGAAAAGGAATACAATGAATAATTGAGACTATTAAGCCCTGTCCCACCGTTAAGGTCAAACAGACCAAGTCTTTTCAGTTACCTCCAGTTAGCTTTTCTTGTTTAAATGATTTAGTCCTGTAAGGATACACCTTTATTTATTTAATGGTCGTGATCATTGTTGAAGCATTGCTGTGATTGTTTATGTAAACTAGCGGTTGCACATGTTGTTACTTGAGTGTTGAAAGTCCTTCAGCAGCAAAATCGTAAGTCTTCCCTCAGCGTTTGCACGAGTGTTCAGGTACAGATCTGTGGAGGTTGCCTGTTTCGGCAGCAATATTAAATATGCACATCACATGCATGTAAAATGGAAGAAAAAGGCTTTAGAATATAGATCAGGCAACAGCTACATAAACAAAGTGCAAGTGACGCTAAACACCTCTGCAGCCCTAAAGAGAACCACATGTCTTCCAGCATGTTGGATGAACTAAAAAACTGGAACTGGCACTTTTGGCCTATTTTGAATTTTACATAGCCAATTTATTTAGCAGAGAATATGCATCCCCTCTGGTTTTTATCCTAACCAGTACAATTTCACTCATTTCATTTAGTTTTGGCCCTGTATTGAGACCATGCTTAACATCAGGGGTTGTACACATCTTACTCTCTAACCAATAGATAAGAGTAGTAGTGTAACTGAATGCAGTGAAGCTGAACTGCGGTTTTAATTTTGAGTCACAGCACCTCGCAACCTTGTCGCTTACAGCACAGCGCGGCTTTCAAAAACATCGCACTTCATCCGTCACAGGTTTTTCCTGATGATTCATTGTAGCTGACATCAGTGACAGAAAAACCAGAGCAATGGAAATCTATTTAAATGCGGCGAGGCTCAATTTCCGTCTTTCATGAGAGAGCTGGGGATAATGTGTTGGACCCAGACCAGTAGGGGGTAAAATAGCTTCATCAGTCTTTTCAAGTCAAAGTGAGGTGGAGGGAAACAAGTGAAACGCCGATGCATAACACTGACATTTTTTAATAGAATTCATTTATAACAAATGGAACTTGTGTCAGCAAAGAACTGATTTTCATACACTTCTTTCTCCACCAATGTAACCTAAGTAAGAAAATAAAAAGCACTCCTTTCATTCAGAAAAAGAAACATTTTACGCTTACAACTAATCAGAGGTAATTGTATGATCTTTTTAACAAGCCATTTTTTTTTTTTTACAATTTCATTATTTAATTTTTCAGTCTATGCATCCAGACGAGAGATAGATAGAGAGCAGAGAACACAACGTTTATTTCTGTTAATGACACTCCAAGCTTGGATGGCGAAGCCACAAGAACAGATGGTTGTGGGACAGATTCTTCTGAAATCATCTGCTGGAGTAACCATGGCATCAGAATGGATGCTCTTTTTCGCCACAAACCTTTTTTTTTTTTTTGTCTTTTTAAGAGTTGATACCTTTTTTGTGTTATTTACATACACACAAAGTGAACGTTTAAGGAGACTTTTTTTTATAGATGGGTTCAAGTAATATATTATTGGGTTTAGAATCAATAGGGCGGTGCATAGTACAAAGATAGAGAAAGTGCAAATCTTCCTACCAGGCCAGCTTTGGCCTTTCTGCAATGTTTCACCATGCATACGAAAAGAAAAAAAGGAAAAACTGAGATGAGAAAATAAACATGTTCCCAGACTTGAATGTAATGTAACATTAGTCACCATGAGGTTAAATGATAGTACTTTTATATCGCAAAATCAGGACAAAAATAATGGGTTAAGCAGTCGACAGAAATAACTCAGTTGCTTGAGTTAACAAGGGAAAGAAAGCACCTGGAATGCACATCCACAAAGCCATCAAAGAGGTTACAGAGAAGTGAACATGGAGACTGAAACAAACTTAAAACCCTTCGTCTGACTGAGGACACGACACTTCGGATTGTCAGGCTAACACAACCGATATTTCGTTTGCAGTTTGTATTTCTCTATAAATGCTCCTTGTAGTGACACACACACATGAAGTCTACAATTCAAACCTAAGGCATGACGAAGAAACCCTTCAATGATGACCTGTGCATTAGGCATTCTTTTGTATGATTTCTACATATGCTGAACGTTTCGACTTTCGTGTTGTAGAATGTGATCCTCGTCACAACGGGTGGAAAGCTCATTCATTTTAAGTCGGGCCTTGAAACACGTGCTGACGGACTTCATCCTGTTTAGATCTGACACCAGAATTCTGTCATCTCGCCTCCAGCTGCATTTTAATAACATGTAGCTATCGTGTATTCTTGTCTGTTTCTCTGTTGAGGTCAGCGACATATATATATATTTATATATAAGTATATATATAAACTCTTTTATTCTAATTCACACAGCCACAATAAGGCCACTGAAAATGAAAAATATGAGCTTTGAAATGTTCTTATTTGCATATATAATCTCATCGTGTGACAAATGAATACTAAAGGTAAATAAACTATACAATTACATTTACACTAAATGCCTAGATTAGTCAAAGGATACATTTAATATGTTAAATGAAACATTATAAAAACAGGCATAAATATAAGGCACTCTAAATGCAAAATGAAAAAGAAAATGTCGTAACTGTCGAATGCTTTAAAGAACCACGAGAAAAGTGTGACGTCTTTGTACCTTGCCCTATTGTGTGGTGCGAGCGGTGCGTGCGGCTGTGTGACACCTCTGCTTCGAATTACAGACCGTATTTATATATGAGAGTTTGAAAATTTGCACCAGCGATGCTTCGACTGGCACCGGACATTCCCACTCCCGGACTTCACTTTGCAGGGGCAGGGGGGGGGGGCAACAATGTCATGAGTGAAAAACATATCCACATAAAAACCCTATCTAAAAACACACAAATTTATTGCACAAGAAAAGATGCACTGAATCAGAATACAATTTTGTCCTACTGATGTGCATTCCAGTGAAAAATCTCTTCATTTCCCCCTTAGCACA